TCGAACCTGGGATCTCTCGACTTTCCGGGACGAGTGTCTTAGCCAACTCGACCTCTAAAATCCCTTAAAGTTATTTATTTTCCGCTACTAATGTTTTCTAAATTCATTGTAAGTAGTGTTGTCAATTTTTAATAGAATTTCTATCAGATTTAGAAGGTCTTTTTTTATCAGAAGATTTCTTGGGCTATGTTCAGATTCCCACCCGAGTGCCATCCAGGTATCATTCCATCCTTGTTATTTACTGAACATTTTAATGACATGATCCCTGGAGAGTACCCGGATAGAAATTCGAATACGCCCATGCAGATACAAAAGGTTTACGAAAGTTTCCCACGGACTTATTTTGGAGAGAAAAATACAAAAAAGTCAAAATTATTGCTAAAATATTGAGAAAATCGCAATATAAGGGATAACTTTCGAATAAAGCCAACAGTAGCTATAAGTATACAAAGTTTCATTAAAATCAGAATTTGACATTTGACCCGAGGTTTTTTTGTATGTTTATAAGATTGTTCAATCATCGTTCGGAGTAACGCTACAAAATGTACCTACTTACGAACAGTAGGTATATATTTAATATTATTTTTATAGCCACACGGAAGAAACACTTTGGTCGTCACAACCGGAAATAATGATAATTTTCGCCCATCTAATACATTTAGTTGTGATAATCATAAGATGGCCATATCTTAACAGCCATAGGCTGTAATCGAAGATTTACTACAAATACTTTGAAGCGTTTTTGGTGAACCAATTAGAAGAAAGAATTTTACAAATTGATCAATTAAAAAACGCTTTGAAGCATAGCATTGACTACTCATAATTATTAAGATATGCCAATCTGACATGGTTATATTAAGGTGCAATATTTCACGCAGCGAAAGAAAGCTGGCTTTTTATCCACACTTACCACAATCAAAAAGCAGCATTTAAAAGCTCTTCGCTCTTCTTCTACTTCCTTTTCATGGAGCGTATCTTCGCTGCAGTGGAATTTTGTAACTCGTTATGTAATCGTTATATGCTCATAACGACAGTTGCGCAGATTTTTATATAGTAAAAAAGCTGCGCATATTACAGAGTAAAGGGGGCAGGAAGAATGCGTTGCACAAATGCATAAAATCTGTAGAAACTCGCTAAGAAAAGGGATTAGGATTTTCAGAAATTTGGATCAATACCTATAGAAAAGGAAGTTTTAAAAGTAAAAACCTTTTGGCTGAAAGAAAGCAGAAAATAAAAAGTGAACTGATAAATTACATTTTGGAAGAAAAGGATCAGCCTGTACACACAAGATTAAATCAGAGGGTTGGTTAAACTTTTCATCCTTTCCGACGCTGAATCATTAAGCGCGTTTGAGCCGACCAAATTTGCTAACCTGCTCGCCGAGCGATTGAATGTAATTGGATCTATAAGTAACAATCAATCATATTGGCTGCGTTCAGCAGACTCATCAATTAAGTGAGCACTCGCTGCTATTGATGTATTCTAAATCTAAAATTCTGATTGGATGATTTAAAAAAATACACTAATAATAACGGCGCTTACTCAATTGTTGAATTTGCTGAATGCGCCCATCCATTTGTTTGGCAAGCATCAGACTAGCCGCTTTGTCGACTTAAAAGGCCGGTCCATTAATTTCAAACCCAGCGGGACTGTTCGGGTTGTTGTATGATTCTGGTTTTGTATATTTAAGGGAAAACTTTACACAAAACCATAGAAATTGCTCCACGGCAATTACACGAAAGATATTCACTCCGAAAAGTACCGAAACGAGACTAAAAATGAAAAAAATATAGTTTCATTCTTAAATATTTTTTTACACATGAACAATTAGTCATTCATCGTCGTGAGCTCATTCATATGACTTCACTTAGGCTGCAAACGTAACATAAGTATGTCCAGCATGTCTAGCGATCGAGTGATTTGAGGAGCGGAAGTAAAGCTCACGTAGAAAAGGAATGAGTTTCGTTTCACGCACGATCATTTTATTTTTGTTCACCGAATATATATTAAAAAAAAATAAAATGATACATTGTACGCATCATATACGTGAAATGATACACTCAAGAATTTCGTTGTCGTGCATTTTCCTCTCGTTCGCGCACGAAGAAAACGATAGAGAATGAGAAAACACATGATTACAAAATCCTACGAATTAATTAAAGTTGTATTTGATTTGATCGTTTACATGCTTTAAGCGTTTATAATCATCGTTATGTTATAACGCAATCTAAAGCCCGTTTTCATAATATATGCGGTTATCTCCCATGTGGCAGATCTCCAAAGGATATTTCCAGGAACATCTGAATAAAGCGTGCTGTATGGGGTCTAAAGGTTAAAGGTTTTGTGTGTGTGTGTGTGTGTCTCAAGCATCTGTAATGAAATTCATTCATGAATTTCTTGGTAACCTTTGATTTTTAAATGATCTTTAAATATGTTGTGAAATCGGACCTATGTGTCCTTTTTACTTGAGCTTCTGGATCTCGAAAAAAACCAAGAGATGTTATATAGCTACTTAACGATTTTAAATTAAAGAAATTGTTATTTATATCTATCTTATAAATATTTACGTAGAGTGTTCTGGATCTTCCAAGGTATTTTGAAATAAGTATCGATGTAAAGAAACAAATAATTTATTACGATCTGGAACAACGTAACGAATTAAATTATATCGAATACGAAACTAGCATAAAATAAAAATGTAGAATAAAATCACATAAAATCACACAGTTTCAGATAGTTGACTTTTGTACGTGTTACACGCAAATTACATCGACGTTAAAGCAACTCATGGGGAACGGAATATTTTATTTCAGATTATTACAGGCAATTGTGCAATTCTTTACGTCATTACTTGTCATTCTTCTGCGTATTAAGCGCTTCTGTATATAAAACTATCTGTTTATAAAACTCTTAAAGTTAAAACGCAAAAGTTAATGTGACGTATCATTGCATCACATCGCATTGACAACTGATGACATCATACACTAGTAGGAATGAATTATCCCATTTATACTCGTACTAATTATCCCATTTAGATACGTACTAAGACGTAGATATTATACTCTAAGGCGTAGTTAAGCATTCTGCAGTATCTATTTTATAAATTTTCCATCAGTTCTCAAGAGAAAACCTCACCGTTCCTCATCGATTTTAATGGATTTTGAATATGTTGTAGACCAGCGATGCGCAAGCTTATTTTTAAGAGTCATTTTTTCGGAGGGCTATTTTCAAAAGTAGATAAAACCTTGCGAGCCGCATAATGTTTATTACGTTTACATGAAATAAATTGATTTTATATTTTCGACTATAGACCGGCAGATCATAGAATATCCACAGGTGCACTGTTAAATCTGTAGTGTCAAATTTAACCTAACGTGAGTCGCCACTGCTCCTATAAATATATCATTATTTTTTACCAAAACGATAATTAAATTTGATACTATATCGTATCAATTTGACACATATAGTGTCAAATTGTCGCTGTATAGTGTCAAATATAATCATTTAGTATAAAATAACGATATCATTGAATAGGAGCAATGGCGACTCACGTTAAGTTAAATTTGACACTATAGATTTAACAGTGTGGGCCGCATGCGGCCTGCAGGTTGCACATCACTGTACAGGACAAAAAATATTAAATCACATTTTTTTACGTACTTATTTTAAGGTTCTGGAATCAAAACTTCTAGGAATGAGAGTAAATTAAAATATTTAATATTTTTTAAAAATGTAAATATCATTATTAAGAGAATAAAGTAATTTAAAACTTTGTATAAAATATTTTTTTATATTCTCCTCGTAAATTCGAAAATATTGAGATAAAATGTTGAGACTTAAATGTTGAGACAAGCACAGGTAAAAAAATATTTTTTTATATTCTACGACATGTACAAAATCCTTCAAATCGGTGAGTGATAGTTTCGACAATTCCTTTGTCAGTCAGAAAAAAATCCCTTAGAATAACATATATTGAAAGCTCTCTGGTATATTTATTAAATAAATATTTGATTTAATAATTGACAATTGAAACAGTTCAGTGAACTTGTATTTATCGTAAAACGTGCGACCACTCACACACATACACATTATTTTTATTTAAGTATACACGATGACAGACACGTGCTGTTATTTCTTTTAACGCACGAAGCTTATATACATATTTACAATGTACATATATAATTAATACTACACACACACACACACGCGCGCGCGCACACATTCCTTATACATTTCTAAGAAATACGTACTTTTTGGACGATTTTCTTAAAGGAATTTAAAAAAGCTTACGTATTTAAGTATACGTTTCACGAATTACTGAAGTTAATACACTTAGTAAAGTGATGTTGTAAATAAAAATTGTTATCTTCATACTTATATTGTAAACTTATATCTGCTTTCTATTTGTATTTCTTGGAACCCTTATCTTTATTTTTATCTTTAATTTGTATTTATCTATCTTGAGAAGGAAAATAAATAGGTTGCGTTTTAAATAAATAATACACAATTTTTATAAATCAGCTAGGTAATCATAAATAAAAATCATACTTAATCCTAATCTAATAATCAATAACTAACTAATCTATCAATACTTAATCCGTCAATGTATTCGTATACAGCAAGCAACAATTGATATTGAATGAAAAGTTGAAGTAATATAACGTTTGGTTCTTTTCTTATAGAATTTATATTTTTATTATAACCCGTATCAAATCGTTTTTTTACAATAATGTATTGTAATTATCAATTTATAATATGATACATTATGAGATATTACGTATTTGCATTAAATATAATATGTAAGTATACATCATTCACTGTGATACTGACGTTACTTATTATAATACCGATGTTATACTAATATAGTTAATAAAATTTATCACATGCGTCTCACGATGAAATACTTAAATAAACATATTATAGACATTTATTACATAAAAATATTATCCATCTGAAATACATACACAATTTTATAATTTTATATTACAATATATGTGTAGTACTGATTCGCTAATGAGTCATGTCATTAAGCATTTTTTATTTAACTAGATTATAGTAAATCGTTCTTAAGCATATCAGATGATTAAACATGTCTAAATGTATCTTTATTATAAAAAAAATTGATATCTAATTTAATGATTCTCGTACGTATTGTCTAACACAAACACAATATTTCGCATGTAAATATATGTTGCATGCTTCTTTATTATAATGCAGCCTTATCATTAGGCTTCAGTCAGATTTGATAAAAGGATAGTTCGTTTATTAAGAATATTGAATTAAATTATCAAACGGTAGTCGTAGCATCTGTAGGATTAGTCTCACTCTCATGGTCTGTCCGTTCTGCGCACAGTTCGCTTTTCTTCTTTAACTGTTCCTTTGCTAATATCTTCTTGATAAAATTGCATTGGGGATACCACTTAATGTGCTCTTCCACAGGATCATCCGTCTGTTCCCAAGCTCTCAAACATTTTCCGCAGTAGAAACACATCGTTTGATCAGAAGGTTCAAAAAGGCCGCTAAGATAGAAGAAACCAGCTTTAGCCAATTCTTCTTTTTTCTCACATATCGTATCGGAAGTACATATTGCGAAAGAACGTAATCTACGCTCATAGGAAGCGTATGTGGGCTGTTTCGAGCCTAACACGTCGCTGAGCTTGGCCGTGACATGGGCGTTCGTATCGGCGTCCCAGAAGACCGTAATGTCAATATCGTCATTCAGATCAGTAAATGTGGAGTCAGAATTCATGGCACTTTCAATCTGCAGATCATTGTCCGGACCAGACAGCGGCATGTACTTGACGCCGTAAAGTCCGCAAGTATCTACTCGTTTGGATACTTTGGGAATCGTGCTGGGATCGGTGCCGATTGGTACATTTCCACAAGGAAGATCCCGGATGAATTTACATCTTCCGGACCAACGTTGATGCTCGACCTTGGGATTATCGCCGTCCATCCAGCTTGACAAAATAATTTTGCACTCAAAGCACTTTACTGCATCTTCTTTTTTAGTGTAGAAGAAACCGGCGGCCGCGAGCTTTTTGGGATCCATGGTTGACACAGGCCACATGGCGAAAGAATTCAATCTTACGATTTCGAAGCGATAATCCGAGTAATCTGTTTCATCACAAGTTGTTAAGTCGACAGTTCTACGCACATACCACTTCATGGTCAAATAGTCTCTAATTGGTTCCGTTCGTGCAAGAATCTGCAAAAAGAAGAAGTAAACGTGACTTATGGCAAATTCCTTCGTATATTCTTTCTATTGCTCGCTTTTGACAAAAGTATGCGGGATCTTACTCAGGTATAACAGGTAGACAGAGATAGGCACGTAAGCTTTTCTCTTCCTTTGAAAAAAAGGTAGGATATTATCGTGGAATTTGAAGAATGATCACGAAGTTTAACACAAATGACAGGCGGATCTCTTTTCTTTTTTACATAGTCTGGTACAAAAAGCGTATTCCACAATTCCAACACACACACACGTACACAATACTCGAGGCTGAATTTTTTCTATTCGAAATATAGCAGCAGAAATAATATAAAAATGTGCTGAGAAAATCAAATTTATTCAAAACATATTCTGAATTTTAATAAGTTTTTTAATACCTCATCAAGATTATTAAACTAAAATAAATTCAATTTTCTTATTACATAAAATAGCTTCTACGACCGATTTTATAATATTCTTCAAATAGCACGAGGAGCGAAATAAATGTATAAACTTACATCTGCGCAAAGTTATCGTTCCACAGCATTCATATATACACTTAACTCAATAGTTTTCATTCGAAAACTATTGTTCGTCGCGTTGGAACGTATACGTTGCGATGAGGTATTCTCTCTCGCCGGCGTTTATCTTATTATTGCCACACTAAATAATTACTACGCGATAATACAGGTATTTACGCTCCTTGTTTTCTGAATTAGAAATTCTTAATAATCGGAAATACAAGGAAAGATTATCACTGCATTCTTCAGTCGTTATGCAATATAAGCGAAACTATTTGTAACATTCTATTAATAGCGCTGATTTCTACGACGAATTATGTAATACATATTACATAAAATCTTTAGACATGGGTTCATTTAATACCCGCGTTGTTTCCAACGTAATATCAGTGACCTACGTGTATTTATATTTCATTGAGAAAATTTTATACATTTAAGAGAACTTAATGATGCATAATAATTGAATAATTAATCCAAATTTGAGGAATTTAAATAAGAATTAATTTTTTGTAATTAATTCCTTATACAAATAAAGGATGGTATTAATTTAAAGCTACAATTGAAATGAAATTTTTACTAATAAAAACGTTTACTGCAAAAGAAATTATTCTATTTTTTATTAATGGAAAAATCAATTTCTAGCAAGAATCTAATTATAGTAGCGCTTTTAATAATTTCTAAAGTTAAAGGTTAATCTTAAAGGGAATATAAATTTTCCATAAAATTCAGAGATTATCATTATGTCTAGAGATATTTTCTCGATAGCTTATCAAAAAATGAGCAACGTCATGCTTATCTTGAATGATTTTCTACGTTGTCACTAAGGAGTCATTGTGTTTGACAGATTCTAATCGGCCTGACACAACAACTAAATGACCTTTGTCGACACTTCAGGTTATCGAAAACAATAAAGATTAGATACAGTATCGCGATAAGATTTTTTTATTATTATTGCGATTTCCTCTGTGCCTCCGTGATATTGTTCAATAAATAACTTTCCAAGAATCGGTTCGCGTAGGTTTTTGAGCATTGAATACGATCCCATTTACCAAACAGTTCTATCATGTCACAAAGTTGAAAAATTTGCAAAGCGGAGCTACTTTAATATGTAATATTTAACATATAATATTTTAATATATGTTTCATTGTGTGCAATTAAAATTAAATATTTATTAGTATTTAATCCTTAAAACAACTTTATTGTCGATTATGGCTAAAAAGATGATTTATGATGATGTTAATATTAGATCTATTGCCTAATATTAGGTCAAAGTCACCTACATACCCAGCAAACATGCTGACGTTATTTGTCGTCATTTTGATGTCAGAATGATAATTAATGTCAGCTTGTTGAATAGATCATTAAGAATACAACAAATGTTTTTTAATGTATTATTCAAACTTAAGGAGCTTTAAAATCGCTGAGACTAATCTAATAATTACGAACATAATTACAAACTTGACAATACTTAATTTTGACATAATTACTTGACATATTTAATTATTAACGTAATTTAAAAAATGAACATGCTTAATCCTCCGTCTGCAATTTGGATTAAATCTAAAAATATGATTGCAGACGGAGAATTAATTTTGTGACTATTATAATAAAACTTCTCCAAATACATCACATTTAAACTTTTACTTTACAATGTAAAAGATACATTAAAATAGATTTATTTTGTAATTTTAACTACACACAAATTTCTCAAAATTACAACATAATCGATAAAGTATTGTAATTTGATAAGCATGATCGTATTCAGCGCCCAAAAAGCAATGAAAAGCAATTACTTTTAGTCTTGTGTAATTCTTTTTCTTTAAACAGGCTAATTAATTAAGACTACATTCGAGTAAAGTATAGCCTTATAGATTTACTACAGTGAACCTATAATTGTGTACAGTACAAGTAAATTAATATTTTTTTACAGCAAATCAATATCGCGCCATGTCTTAGCGCCGTGTCTCCGGATTTTCGAAAACGATCTTTCTACAATCCGAGGGGCACATCTCACTCTCTTTCACTCTCGAGTCGGTGCGTTTAAAAGACGTTAAGTCAGCACGAAATCAGCGCGAATCAACAGCTTGGTTTGCACCGTCCAAGTAGAACACAGAAGTCATGAGGACGTCACCATGACCTCATTCGTCACTTACAAGTCAATTTTTAGGTATCAAATGACGTCATGATGACGTTCTGTGATACCATTATGACACAATTATGACTCCGGGTTCTACCTGGGCGTGCGCTTAGTCCGCGACCCATACGATAGATGTCTTTGTTCAACCTATATATTAAACAAGGACGCCCAATGAAAATAAGGCTCGAGTCAGCGAAAATCGAGCAACGATGATTGTTTGACTCGAGAGTGAGAAATGTCCCTCGCTACAATCTCCAGCTGTGAATAGTAAGCTGAGTAGTCGAGAAAGCTTTTGGAGTGGTCCTTTTAGAGTTTTTTTTGGATCGATTCGTGTTTACGGAAGCCAGCTATTACCTTGAAATAATGACACCCCACAAACTCTGTCCGAAACCTTACATCTGACCACTTTCCTTTGTTAAGATTGAATCACAGTAAGAATGAATAAGAATTACAAGCTAAAATGAGAATAATCCCAATAATCTCATAAGATGAAAATTTGTCAACCGGCAAAAGAGAGAGGTGACAAGTGAGAGAAAGATTGAGCGAAATAAAGAAAAAGGGATGAATGTAGAGACCGCGACATGATAAATGGCGAGAACGGGCAGAATGTTTCGCGTACCAAGCCGTGCCTTTGTACGAAAGAGAAAGAACGTCACACACGGCGTGACGCAGCCGGTGCGTGCGTGTGCGTTTCGTGAATTATTCACGTCCTCTTCGTAACACTCGCTTTTTATCCCTAAGCGGAAGAGAAAGAAATAAAGAGAGAGAAAAAAAGAGAAAGAAATTTCCCGATTCAAAGGCACTAAAGGCGGAGTGAATGATAATGAAAGAGAGAGAGAGAGAGAGAGAAAAAATAGAAGCCGATTGGGAGTGATAGAGAAATCAATCTTTCTTGGAAATTGATGATTCTTGGAAATGATTTATCGACGTTTATACAAGAATGATAAAGAGAGGAAACGAAGGAGGGAGGAACGGAACAAGCATTCTTATCTACACCTATCTGTACTTTCCTACCATGTCGCACCGTTTCCATTCAAGTGATTCAAGGCGTCAACATACCGTTGATAACAGCTGATAAGGCGTGTGTTGCTATTCTTCTCCTTAACACTTTCGTCACTGGTGATCCCTCACTGAAAACCGCTGAAAACGGAAGCCGGTTCTCGCGACTTTTCGTTGCGATGCTCTTCCGCATGGTGCTTCAGAAATATCGTCTATTATTCAGGCTATCCGTTATCCACTAAGATCCAGTATTGCTCACAGTCCCCGCTCAGCTGTCCGGAATAATGAGACCTGCGACTCAACTCGATTTGATCGTGACGTGCCGGAAAGCTACGACTCACTCGAGTGTGGCTGACGGGCGGAAAATGTTCCAGAATAAGAGACCAGGCTACTGATTTTTGCATTCGGGCGAAGCGGAAGGAAGAGAAGGAGAAAAACGGTTCTGGGAGTTTCCAATTATGACACAGGGCTTAATGAATCGTTTGACAAAAGCTACACGGCGCCAAACTCGTTGCAGGCTGGAATTCTCCACCAACGATGATCGAGGTGACCGAGGACAAGGCAAGGGAAGGGTGATAGTAGTGGGGAGGATGAATGGCACGAAGGGCAGCCTCTAACAGATGAGGTCACAGCATTGCACAGCATTGGTCGGTCTGCTGTGTTTGTAGGGGTTGTTGGAAGCAGCTGGCAACAGCTGGGAAGTGCCGAGACATTAGGGACGGACTTATTCACAAGACTATCATTAATTTTTAATTTCTACAATTTTTGGCTAATCCGAAAATTATTTCATATCGAGTACGTGTTAATTATAATAAATTTTTTTTGGAGGGAAATCTGATTGTTTTCTCGAAAAAAAAATTAACGCCCGGATCTTATGTGACATTGGGAAAAAATATTTAATAGCAACTGCAGGAATCGCGTAATATTAAGGAAAACATAAAGAGAGAGAAGAGAGAGAGAACATTCTTTTTTTTAGAAAAACTGCAATTTTGTGATAAATTAAAAAAATAGATAAAAAATAACATATAATAATCTAATAATAAATAAATTAAAAAGTAAGAAAAAACCAACACAGATCTGTTATAAATTAATCTGATTTTGCTTTTGCGAAATAACTTTGAAATTTAACTCTTATTTGATACTAACAAGGGAAATTTCACAACTGTCCGGAACCGATTTGATTCTCCATGAAATACGTTGTTGAACACAAAAATCTAAAAGACACGTATTTTTTTATACGTGCGCTAACTCATGTTTAAGGGGTTAAACAACTGTTTGAAAAAAAAAAACGGTATTTCTATTTCGAGCCGTCGGAAGTATAAAAAAATACGTATCTCTTAGATTTTCGTGTTTAACAACATATTTCCTGGAGAATCAAATCGGTTCCGGACAGTTATGAAACTTCCCTTGTATAAGAATTGTGTGAAAATAAAAGAAATGTAAATAGAAACTTCTTACTGTAATCGGTGAGGTTATCCGAATACGTGTTTATCGCGACATAATCAAGTTCAAGAATGCGACTTAATTATGGTCTTGAAATTCTATGGTCAACGACAATCGCGTCACTTAGAAAAAAAAACTCAAAAGAGATACGTGTGAAATTCTTTATATTTTATATACATTCAAAGTACATGACATTTGACATCGATTTCGCGACGAATTTCTATTTTACAATGCTATATACGATATATTATAAATCTGATGTAACATAAAATCTTTCTTCGATATTTTACATAACCGTTCGCTTATACACATCTAATTACTATACATTTTCGCTTCACAGACATTACGGATATCACATTTATATTAATCTCTATTTCATACTTTCAACAAAACGAAACGAAACTGTACAAATATGAAGATATTTTTCTTTAATTATTTCTTTGGAATGATCCTGGCCGAGTTTGTTTCTTAGGCCAATATTACATTCGTCTGTTTTTTGTCATACAATAAATATTTTGTAACGTATAAATTTTTTCAAGCGTATTAATTGACTGCGGACAGAGAAGTTCTTAGATTCTTCTTCTTTTTCCCCTGGATGGCTTTCCGACCTCTCCAATGAAGGTCAAAGTGCCAGAATGTTATATTGATCCGTAGATCAAGTCAGAGCCTCTTCGGGGAGCAGAGACTCGCTTTAGTTGCTTTTCAATATAGTTCGTTCGTCAACTCCGAGAATCAATCGTTTCTCTTCGATTAGGCGAAACCAGGGATTCCAAGGGACTCAAACAGTTATTGAACTCCGTTTTCCATTTGAGGAGAGTTTTACTCAGGTAAAAGACCGGTAAAAAAATCTTGAATACATTGTTCAGATTATCTATAACTTCAAATTATTGTTGTTAATAGGTTCTCAGATCTGTCTATTCGATAACCAATCAATAGGCTTGAAAAATTTGTCGTGCCACAAAAACGGACAAATGTAATATTGGCCTTAAGCTTACATGCTAAGACTAGAAACTAGTATGGCTATGTATATACATACATATATATGTATTATTTCTGTCATTTGTTTATCTCTAAAATTATCGAATCATAATCGATTTGATCATTTTATGTTTTTTGTACTCACCCTCGGCAAACACAACAACACTGATTTTTATATCGCTTTCACTATTTTGTCTGTTATATATATTATCTGTGAGAAACAACGTTCACATACACATATATTTTATCACGATGCAACGTCATGGAGACGTATCAGCATTAAGCGAAATTGTGTCTCTTTTGTACATGTCCTTGTGTCTTAAGCAACCATTTAAATTCCAATAGTCTTATCAGAAAGCTTTCATGTTTGTTTCATCAACATATACTCAAATAAATATCTTCACATGACACTTTTTGTTGACTGGATTATATTATTATGATCGAGTTTATAGTATATTTAATGTATATTACCAAGATATTAATACATAAATAATATAGCAAAGTTATATGTACAAGCTAATGATCTCAATGTGATATTAGAGATTAATATTTTACTAAATTAACAACGATATAATGATTTATCATGAATCTGTAAAAATTGAATTGATATATATAATATACAAATAATAATTATTATAGTTCAATAATAATTGTAGATCAAATCTGTAATCAGTCGCAATTGTTATTTTTCTTTATACTTTTCCACTTTTATAAAATTAGCTGAGATATTTTACATTATTGTTATCAAATAAAATTATAACAAACGAGAGACATTTATAAGTAAAACATTTTAAATAACATAAATAAGAAGAAATGATATGAATTCGATTTTTTAGTAGCTCTCATCAATCTTCATCACATTTTGCGGGCCTGCCTTAAATTAGCGCTAGATTATGCTCGATTCATATAATTTATAATGTTTGTCATTCATTGCAATTAATAATACATTTCATTATTTGTTGATATCTTCACAATCTATTAACGGTTCGTAGTTAACAATCCAATCGCTTAAATCACCATGAATTGATAAATTTATGATGATTCACACTTCCTTTGATTTCATAAAAAACCATTGGCAAATCTTAAATAGCAAACTGCGAATCTTGAACCACGAATCGCGCATAATCTGGCGCTAGATTTATACTCTAGTTTAATGTTATTATACTCTAGTTATGATAGTTATGATTATGTATACTCTAGTTTAAGACAAAAAAATACGGACATATCCATGAATCCTGAATCTGCATAATGGACATCTCGCAAAAACCGGTGCGCAGTTGCTACACGTTGCTAAATGTCCACAAGGTAAAAATACTATGGCTAGTTCGTGATCCATACAAACTTTGCATAAACGAGCCTCCTTCAATTTTCTGTTTTCCTCTTGCAAAGCCACTGCAAAAAAGTGATACGAGCTATTTAGATACATGTGTGCACATTTCTTTTCAAGAAATCAAATTACATATGCATAGGATGTAGAAGGCATGATACAGCTTTACAAGGAAGAAATCTTTCACACAAAAGAACATTGCATCAAGAAGTTATATCAGTTAAGATTTTTTATTAATTTTATCAACACTTATCCCTGGAATAAGTGTTGATAAAATAAATCGAATTATTTATTAATAAAATTAATAAAAAATCTTGAGTCGCAATAGTGTGTGATAACGATAAAAACAATAGATGAGTGGTATGTAACTGATTTCACAGATCACATAGATAATATCAAATAATAATATGATATTTATCTGATGATATACTTACTAAAATCATCTGATTCGTTATCCGTTTTCTTTTCGAGATCTCTTTCAAATGCGTCAGATTCTTGTGTACCATTCTTATTTGCGGAATTATTAGTCATTTGTATGGTAACTTGATTAAACAAATTATTCAATTCTGAAGTAGGTGAGTTAGAAGTGCTGTTATCAAGGCTAAAGAAAAAAAGCATAATTCTCAGTAGTACCTCAACAATTTGATTATTTCTAATTACATGTAACATACGCGTGCTGTATTTTCCATACCTATTATTTTCTTCCATAACTTGGTGGTGCAGAACATCTTGTATAAGTTGTGCAACATCAGTATACGGTACGCCAACTCTTTCCATTCTGTTCTTCAGAGCTCTCTTTACTCTATCTACTTGTAGTCCAATTTCAAGAGCAGCCTATATTGAGAGAAAAAGAAGTCATATCAAATTAATTAATCTTAATTAGGAATAATTAGGAACATTTGAGTTTTTCAAATCGCTGACAAAGAGTTTTCATCGTCAATTTTTTTACTTGTTTTTCTTGTTTTCTTCATATACAGAGTTTGAATTGATAAAAACATTGCAAAGTTTTTTTTTAATTTTAATGTAATACATACATATGTACAATTTGATCATTCTACTTACCTTAGCTGGAGCTGTTTCTAAAAGTTTCTCAACCTCTGCATTCGTTATCGATACACTGGGTTGTAAAACTGTCGAAAGAGATGCAACCATAGCTTTTGTGACATCTACTGGTGTAGTTGGTTCACTAGATTGCGAAACTGTCGAAACAGATGCACCTAAAGTTTCTACGATATCTGTCGCAGATGCTATTGTATCATCTGGTTTGCTATTTTGTGAAGTTGAAACAGATTCAACTGAAGACTCTGTGGCATTATCTTCTGGCATGCCAGTGATAATCTGTATACATAACGAAATTTAAAAAATATCACATGTTACGTAATATATAAAATGCATCTTATGTATATTATAGAATCTAGACATTATATTGTTTTTACAATATAAAATTTATATTATCTAACTAAATTCATAAAATCATAAAAAAAGTGGAATATGACAATTACCGAAAGATCAAAATTTCTATTATCAACGCAATATTTGACAAAGTCCTGTCCACGCACAAGATTTACAAAGAAACAACTCGAAAACCATCGTGCATGTTCAACCCATACATCATCCGTTGGTTGCCAATTTCGTAATCCTCCATCGCAATGAAAACATCTAACTTGATCTTCGTATCCTATATCAAATACATAAGATTAGTCGTTAGAACAAACATTTCGTGGAAAAAAGATCTAATAATTTAAAAGATAAATATAATTCTGACCGCTATAATAGAATCCAGCCTCGGCTAACATTTCTGGAGTTTGCTTAAGATTTTTTGGCCATCCCTTAAAGGTTTGCAATCTTTTTTCATACATTGCAAATCCTGGTCTTTGAGGTGTCTTATGTACCTGTATTCCTGGCATATTCGTTCGACTTTCAGGCACGACACAAACAAATCCAAATAGCTCTATTGAAATAAAACCACGATTA